GAACCTTGCATTTTACCACAACGCTTCCTTCATAAATTAAGCCAGGTAAACCACAGTAGTTGTTACTGAAATGTTACCTAGAGTTGTGATTACAGCATATGATGAGCCTTACAGACTCGTAAAAAGCCAAGTATCGAAATCAGCGGGCGTAAAAACCCCGGTGTACCACTCTTTAAAATTTTTGGAATAGATTTTGAAACCGAGCAATTGCAAAAAGACGCTCTAAGCTAAAACCTACCGTAATCCTACAGCAATGAAAGCGATCGGTGACTCGCTCTATACTGTAAATCTAAGTTAAAGCCAGCTCTAAAAAATAGCACTTGAAGGTAGACAAGTCCTCTTGGGAAGAAAGATGTAAACGATTGAACAGTGTATACATACTTTTGGGACACCCTGTTTACAGCATAACAATAAAGAACCACTCACTATAAGCAGGAGAAAATACTCACTTGAACATCCGTTTTCTCCAACAACCGCAAATCATGAAAGATAAGTAAATGTTCGCAGGTTCCTGAATGTTGGAACACATACGGCTGACCTAACCTAGAAAAGTTGTCAAAATGAGTGAAAAGAAAACAAGAAAACATACTTACCGCAACTTGAGATCAATAATTTTCACTCCATCTATGTCTCGCGATGTGACTGGATCAAAGCATTTCTTTCTGGCCATAAACTCGCGAATCGGTCTTGAATTATGCATATGTCTAATAGTTATCGTTACATATTGATGAGATTGGTGATTATTTAACCCACTGACGACGACGCCTAATTTTGCTTAGAGGCGCTCTGGGACGATGCGATGTTGCACAACACTTTTGGCGTTGAAAAATTTGTGATTAGTTACGAAGTGTAGGGTTGTTTTGTAAACAATCACCATCATCTTCTTGGAAGACTAAGTCTAGGGGTCTCAAGAGCGCAAAAATTTGGAAAAATACTGCATTCTAGAAAAAATACGAGACTTGAAAAGGATATGATTTTGTAGGAGGTGTGAGCCACGGTGGTCCACA